TGCTGTCTGTGAATCTGTTAGGTACCACAAGCTCTCATATGTAAACACGAAAGTGTTTCTCAGGATGATGACGAAAATTAATTTTGGTCATAATTAGAAATACTGACTTATCTAGGACTTATTCCACCCTTGTAGTACTCCAGTGCTGATGGAGACCAGCGCTCGGAACAACGGACCCCTAATACAGTTCTGGAACTCTTTTCAGAGGGCATCAGAGAGGAATCTCTGAGCAAGGCTAGAGAGCAGGACTGCATCTTTTCATTGGCAGGGGATACACACAGCTATGACTAGTAACCTTTTCAACATCACAAACAGCTTAGGTGATAACAGGAATGGCTATCAGCTCTACCTGACATACTTACTCAACCTGTCAGAGCTCTAGAACTAAGGCAGAGCCCAAAGCATAAGATGGAGTCTACCTAACCACCTAAAGGTACAATAAAGATTCCCAGTGGAGAAATACCTAACGTATTTTCCCTCAGGACACCCTTAGCGTTGAAGCTACAACTGTATATGATTCAGTAGCCTGCTTTCAGGCAAGTTTTGTAGACTGTGAGGTCAACAGAGCGAGTAGGGAAGTCCTGTAACATGCACTGTGTCTATTCATGCTCAGGTGGAGAATGGCAGATTGTGTGCCAGCATGTCCACTTCTGCTGAGTTATTCAGCCATTCGGCCAACTAGATTGTTCACTGCATGTTTATGCTTCTTGTTCTAGTATTACTCGGGTTATGGCTGAGATTTCTGATGCCAAATTGACCTACAGGGTCTAGAAGCTTGAGCTGGATACCTCTGTGCACGGAGCCAGCCAGTGGAAAGGAAGGTCTCACACAGACATGGGAGACTTCATAAAGCAGGATCCCTGAGGACTGAAAGGGAAAATAAACAGCACAAAGCACTGTGCAGGGAAAAGGGATTATAAATCAAGCTGGAGAAAATAAAAACACGTGTCTGACACATTGTGTCCTACCAACAGCATATATGGCAGCAAGGCAAAAGGTTAAGTGTCCTTTCCTAGTGGCAGAAGAGAAGAGAAGATGCAGTTGAGGGTTTCTCAGTAGAGGACCATGTCTGATCCTGCATTCAAATTTCTCCAGTGAGACCCAAACTGACATATACTAGAAAGACATCAGGCTCATAGCCATGCTAATTGGACCCTTTGCTTATAAACACATTATAGAGGATGACAATGTGCAAGTGGCTTGAGTTATTAAATTAAATGCTTCAGGAAGAATACAGTGTGAAAAGCATTAACATCAGAGAGCAGAGAGAAGCACTATTAAATCCATATTTTTATTGCCAATCTTTTGTATTGACTAAATGAATATAGCTCAGCATCTTATCTATCCTTGGTTACAAGTATCACAAAGAATTTTTTGGAACTTTTCCCCCCATTTATCCATTATCTGTATTCCACAAACATCACAGGAATTGTCAGCAATTAACATAAATAAATCATCACCTTTTCAGAGAAAGCTTCAGTTCAAGAATTTCAGATGATAGCAAAAAATATTACTAAATAGCTCATGAAGGGCCTGTTCCATCCCTCACTGAAGTCAATGGGAATCTTTTCACTGACTTCAATGGACACTGGATCAGACCCAAATTGAAAAGATCAATAGCACACATATTAGGATGAAAGAGCAGCTATGCCCTCCTCCAGAAAAAAGAACATTCAAACAACAGATTACAGAAAGGAACCAGTTGGGGAGGACTTTTTTCTCCTCCTTTGAAAAAAATCTGCAAGAGAGCATCAATTCAAGATCCTGAGACCTGAATCTCACAGAGTTGTGAGTAACTCTCATCTTCCACTGTCCTCTGAATAGGTGGGGGTGACTGACACTTTGAGAGATTGGGAGCACTGTTTAATAAACCAGCTCTCTTCCCCTCATTCCAATCCTTGGTTGAGAGTACAAAATGAAGATTTAATAAAGCAATTTACTCCTTCCACTGAACTGTCAAAACTTCAGAGAAACACATCTGATATCTTCAAATACAAAAAAACTAGAAGCCCAAATATCAATTAGAGCACCTTAAGTGGCAGGCCCGATTCTCAAGCATGTTACAAGGTTGGTAGAACTAGGGGCAGTCAAAACACTGTGACACTCAAATGTAGTGTTTCATATTCAGGGTTTTACTAGAGGGTAAATGTGCCTTAAACCATTGTTTTTTCATCCTATTTGTTCCATCAACATAATTGTTGATTTTACCCAATATAACTAAATGGAAAAAGACCATACAACTGGATTGATGTGCACAGTTCGTAAATTCTCAGTGTTGTTCCCTATGCATCTCACAGAGCATCTCAGTGAAGCTCAGTAGAATCCAGAAAAGCTGCAGCAGCTGGCTCAGCCATCTAAAGAAAAGAGTTTGGAGGGCTTTGTAACTTAAATGTGGCATCCAGAGGATGATGCCCTGGCATTTTTACATAATGCCTGAGATTAAGACTGGAAAAATCTCATCAAGATAGATGATACACTCTGCCCTCCTCTAGAGAGGACATAGTTGATCCAAACAGCAGAATACAGTAGGAAAAAAGTATATTTTTTTTAAACCTCTTGCCTTTCATTAACAACTTAGTGACAGACTTATTAGTAGTCACCTTAAGAGTGTCTCCTAATTTCAGTGGGACTTCTCCAAAATGAGACAACCAGACAACTGTATAAGACCCTGTTGCACCAGGGGACTGTAATGAGAAAGGGAAGGCACAACCAGCCCTTCTTGATAACACTTGCTTTTAAAAAATCTTTGAGCATGGCACCCAAAGGTGCTTGTGGAAGAGAAAGACAAGAGTCCAGGGAGTTTTACTACAATGCTATAAGCAAACCTTATTTTTGTCAAATATATATTGTGTTTCAGAAAAGAAAGGCTTCTTTCTGTCAACTGTTTGTCACAGATTATCTAGGAATAATCTCATCCAATGAGGTTGTTTTGAATAATGTGTCCCTAGTGTGAGGTCACACATGCACCCTAGGACCCTGCATTGAATCTACCTCACTAACAACTGTAATATTATTTTGCTTAAGAAGAAATCCTCAACTTCAGCCACGTCATTCAGGCCCCCTTTTCAACTCTAAGGGTGTATTTAGGTCATTTATATTTAGAAACAGAGGACAGTTGGCTTTTTGTCAACTTTGTACTCAGAAGGGTGTGTAGTTTCAGTTTTTGTTCACTTAGGTTTCAAACAGCCTGGTCTCTACCCATTCACTATCACAAGTTTCCTTGAAAGAGAGGCAAAGATATTTTTAGGAACTTAATTTTCTTCAAGATTTATTCTTATTTCCCCATCCTCTGCTATCGTATGGGTATTCCTACCTTCACACATGCACCTCAGCTTGATTAATCCAGCACCTTTATTTTCTCTCATTTAGCAGCACAGCTCTCAGCAAGAACTGCTGTGTTCAAGAGCAGTGGTCCAGGATTCTTCCTATTTACTGCTCCCCTCACCTGCTTTTCTTCAGTTTCTTAACCCAACTATGCAAGCACTGCTCAATGCATTCTGCTTGCAGCTTTAAATCAGAGAAAACACTTGGTAGAAGGGGGCAGCAACTAACTAACCAGAAAGGAGAGACAGCTGTATCAGAACAAGGTAAAAAACCCACAGGGATGAATAAATGGGATCTGAGACAGTGAAGGGGAGGGCCAGGGGACTCAGGAAGGGTGTGTGCTTTCTTGGAGAGGAAAGGAAGAGACAAGTTAAGCCACTAATTTTCAACACAGAAAGAGAAAAAGAAAGAAGTATAAAGAAAACAAGAGAAAAATGTTTAAGTTATTTAAAGTCAAGAGAGCATATCCATACTGCCAGAAATCATGAGCACTGTAGAAAAATACATTCTGGAAGTTTGTAGGAGTGATTAGAAAATGATTGAATTGATTGTATCTCAAGTCAGAAATACATTTTACAGGCAAGAAAAGGCAAAGCAATATATTAATAAAAGTAAATACTTCTTGTGGCAGCAGATTTTCATCTTCCATAATTTGAAGTGAGGATTAAAATCATTTGACAGATCCACATTACTTCCTCAACCTTTTTCTACTCTTTCCCACTTATTCCTCTTCTGCTCGTCATCTTTTCAATCTCAAGAGTGGTACTGCTATCTGACTTTTATGTCTCATTCTGACAAGGCTTAGTCTATGGACCTATTGGAACCAAAATTCAGGAAGCTCTCCAAACATAAGCACACACAGATACTTTCTAAATGGAAAGGGAATATTCTCACTTGCAAAGTCACAATAAATAAAGGTTTTTAACAAAAAGTACATTTTACAGGGTACAGGCTAAAAATAAATCACTAATTAAAAATATAAGTGCCTTTCTCTTGACACTGAGCCTGTTTAGACCTACAGTGTGTACCTTTCAAAAAACCTACTATATTTAAATTTAGCTGATTTCACATGGTGTTCCCAGTTAGGGGGCGGTCTACAATAATTTCAATGAGGAATCTAGGTGCTAGACAGGTCCATTCAAACAGCTCTACTCAGTTCAGTAGTATCTGATCAGCACTCAGTTCTGCCCCTTCACCGAAGCCAAGATCTTATTTTCCCCTTTAACAATTTGCTTAATTCCTCTCAACTTTCAGTTACTGATCATGTACAGTCATTTGTATTTAACAGATTAGAGTAACACAACATCCAGCTCAATCTACAACAAGCCATTGTACAAATTCATTCATTATGTGACATTATGCCACTTAAGCCCCACTTAAAAATGCCCTCTGAATTTACAAATGACCTAGCAAAATACATGTAGAGGCAAACCATAGAAAGCTGTACTATATGCATCTAGAAAACACACACAACAGTCATATATCCTTTGGTATTAAGGAAATTTAAAATGCTCCATTTGCAGCATAATCCTGTCCCAAAATCTGTTTATAAAGGTCTCAATCAAGCATTCAAGTGCAGGAAAAAAATAACTGAAAAAGGAGGGGTATCAGAAGCAGAGGATGGGAATCAGAAATAGAGCAGTGCACAGAGTCACAAAGTGATAAGTATTGTTTACCTGTCAGTTGACATTGATTAATCTTGTGTTCTGTGATATCGCTCAGTGACTCAAACACCTGGAGGCAGCTGTCACAGCTGTGCACAGCTTCTTCTTCTAACTCCTCCCCTTCATCCGGCCTTTTCTTACAGTCTAGCACATCTCCATCTTCTGCCTTGTCTTCTAGTTTACAGTTAGGGTCTGAAAGAAAATCAAGACTGTGATGTGACTGTGATGTGTAAGAAGAGAACATTCAAGAAGAAAAAAAATCAAAATAGGCTGTTGTGCTAATGATATGAAGAAAACTATTTGGCATGAGCCTGCAGCACACTGTAGAATTTATTGCTAAATAAGCAGGAGAGGGTTTTTTTCTTTCATTTTTTTCTACTCTCAATGAAAAGCAAATCTTCCTTCTACTCCCACAAATGCAGCTCTGTTTCTCAGTCAGGCTATTCTTCCATGCTTCAGTGTTAGAATTGTCAATTTTATCACAGCTATTGAAGCTGTTTTGATCATCGTAAGAAAGGATAAACCACCTATGCAATTAGTTTTTCAATGAAAAGAAAAATCAGATCAATGAGTGTGCAGGAACTTCTTTTCACTGTTAACTACAGCGTTTCACAGGAAATTACCAGAATTAAGAGACTAACAAATTTGATTTACATAAACATGAAATTAATCTTGATTTTACAACCCACTGCAATACTAAATTACCACACTATTTGACACAAACAAAGCCTTGAAAAGCTTATACCCTGGGTCAAAATGCTACTCATGCTCTGAACTCGTGTATGAATTAAAGACAGTGCTCATCAAGATCTTGTGTTTGCCAGATTATGGAAAACTGGAAACTAACTACTCTTGTATAGAAGCTATAGAGTGAACAGAGAAAGCTTTGCCTGTTTGACATAATAACAGGCACTTGGGGGATAACAGGATAGCTCAAGCCTCAGATCAGCAGTCCTGAGCCCAGCTGAAGCTTCTAACTGGAAGAAATGTGCAGCCTCATCAACGACCCATGTGTGCAGAGACATCTCACAGCTCACTGCACTGCCTCAGTTCTGCAGATGACCAGCTCAGTGAGATAATGAGTAGCCTAGAACTTTTCTTCCTCCTCTGAGGAGGAACACAGTAGCTTTAACTACTCCTGACTTTTTGCCCATTTTATTAAAAGCGTCCCTCAAAGACAGAAATAAAACAATCTGTCTGTCCTAATAAAGCAAGCTGGCACTTAACTTTGTTTTTCCTTGGGAACCACAGTACAACAAGTGAAATGCAGAAGAAAAATGGTTGTGCACATTCCAGCAAAAGGAATGCAAGTGTTTCACTACTTTTCCCTTTTCTGCTTTGGCTGCTTCATCTTTACTTTTAGATATTTGAGAGAGCTGAGACTGAAACAAGTCATTTTAGAAAACAAGGATGAACTCAATAATAGGCTATTGTGCAAGTACATTTTAAGATGTTACACTCTTTCTAAGCAGGTGAGTGACCAGGAGTAGGCTCCGTGGCCAGGGGAACAGAGATGTGGTATCTGTGAACACACCTTATTTAGCCTTGAATTTGATTAGGATCCTGCACAACTCCTTGGAAGAAGAGAAACTAGAACGTGCCAACATTACATTCATATCAGCTGTAGAGTGGTGTGTGAAGAAGAGCAGGAAGGCAATTCCACTATAAACCACTCACATCCGCTCTCAGAACCCTACAGTCATCTGGGCACAGCCATTCCTGTATTTCTTGCTGCCCACAATCAAGGTCAGAGCTCTCATCATCTCTCTGTATCCTTTGGTCCATACTGCTACACCCTGCCCTTCAACTGTGCAAACACAGATGGACCCGCAAGCAGAAACTGGAAATGACCCATGTCAGGAAGTCTTTCTCATGCCATGTGGCTTGTGATCAAAACCGAGGAATTTCTTTGACAGGGGTAAAGGGCAGTATTTATTTTTAAGGGAATTATATTACAGAGAGAAAACAGATTATTTTTTAAAAATAAAAAACATGTTCTGAAAGCAAAAATACATTTGCTGTGCAAAAGCCCTGTCTATACACTGAGTCCTTACATGACAAATTACATCCACAAGGTTCTTTCAAGAGTGGAAATTTCCACTTGGACAGATACTTCCAAATATAAAAGTAGTCTGCAAATTTACCAAAAAAGGTATGCTAATTATAAAAAGATTTTATAGCATTTTAGACATTACTAAATATTCTAAATCTAATAACATCCATTGCTGCTTCATTTTCTAAAATAGTTAGAAAGATTAATAAAAACAGCTAGGAGATCTCCAGGTTCTAAACAGTTCAGAAAATGAAATAATTGTCTTAACTGTTGCAAACTGACCCCAACATCATTAAACACTTGTTGGAAGCCAGCACGTGCACACTGCATACTACTAGTTGTTCAGCTCAAGCTCCCAGTTTCATCTCATAAAATTGACAGCACTCAGGGAAATGTGGGCACTAGGTCTGAATTTTAACATGACTATTTAAATGCTGCACATAAAGTTTACAGACCTGTTTGTTTTAAAATAAGGGTAGTGTCTGACTCTGCTCTAAGTACAGTGCTGAAGGAAAGAAAAGGGAGGGGAGGGAATTCTCGAGACTCACTATTCAGAAACACTTGCATTTCACAGGAATTCAGCAACACATACACAAACCTAGCTACACATGCACCCCTTAGTGCACAAAAGCCTAAAGGATCACTCAATTTAAAGCTTCATACTTAGCGACCAGTTATTCAAATTAGAATCATTTTAAGACTAATAATGTTTTGCTTCTCCTTCTGCATTTGCAGATATAAATTCTGTGGGGACAGAAGTCAGTTAAGCTTATTCCCTTCTGCTGCAACTTTAGAATACATGCTCTAGCCAACTGGCACATTTGTTTTTAGGTCAACACTTAAGTGGGACCCTCTGGGACCTAGGTTCGAGTTTAGCCTATGACAGCTTTGTGAAATGAGTTCTGGCAGTCTCAGCCCCTCTCAATGAATGTATTTCCACTGTGATCTGCTTCTGTGAAGAGATGTCACCATCAAAATAAAAAGATGTTTAAGGAGAGCAAATATCATTTGGAGGTTTTGTGAATAGATAGGTGTTTATTTTTCAACAACAAATGTCTTCCATCAAGAGCTGGTCTAACCATAAATAGTTACTTAAATTGAGGATAAGCTGCCTTATTTGAGCAGCTCTTTTGGAAGACTAGAATAAAATATTTTATAAATGCAATATGCATTCATCTGTACTTTCTCCTTAACCTCTTGTTCAAAGCTCAGGCTCACATATAGGCTTCAAGGCAAATGTCATTCACCTCCCACATTTCCTTCTCCACAGTATCTGCAACAATCACAACCACAATTCCCTCAATAAGGTGGTATTCATAGTAAAATTACTTTTCCCAACATCTGCAAATACCACTGTGATTTCCAGAGGCTTCTCTGGCCTATTTTGGAGGCTGCTCGTGCACCAACTGAAATTTTTCAATACCCATCAGCAACAATATACACGCATCCTCTCCACCTTCAGATACCATTGGAAATTATCTAGTGTAAAAATGAATGAAAGTTACTTTTTTGGAAGAGAAATAAATTCTGCCTATTAAGGCACTTAAAAAAAAATAAGAGAAAGAACAGTTGTCTTCTCTTCCTGGTTATGTTAACATTATTTATAAATGGAAATTAAAAGAAGCATGATTTTCTCATTATTATGTTCCCTGGCAGGTGGTTCCCCCCTTCCCTTCTTCCTCCTTCTCATAAGGGATGTTATTGCTGTAACTTGGTCTAATAAAACTGCAACTTCGGGGAAAATGAAAAATTGCATTGGTTTAAAAGTGTTGGAGGCAATAAAGCCATGGACTTCAATTAATTTCAAGTATGGGAGCGGTTTAAGGCCAACCAGCAGAAATTCTATTCTGCCCATGTAAAAATGAGGTTTCACCACATTTACTTTTTATAACCCATATAAAAGTCAAGTAAAAGTAATGAATATCTAAAAGTCATCTCAGTGGACTGGCAAAGACTGTCTGTATTCTTGAAACTCATCTTACATATTTCTGCCTATGCTGCAAGGATCCATAGATAATCCCAACTAAAACATCAAACTACCAAGAAAACAGCCTCCTTTCCAACCTATTTCACTGCCTTGCAGTAGACCTCCTTCCAAGCCACTTCTGCATGGAAAAGTGCTGGCAAAAGAAAGGAAAACTTAGATCATGTGGTTATAATTATTACCAGGCAAGGAATATTTCTTCAGCTCAGTGGTAAAGTAAAACTCTGTCGCTCTCTGCTCCCAATAGTGTCCATCGCAAAACAACTGCCTCATTAAATCTCTGCAGTAAGATTAATATGCCGTGGCTGCACTACATTATAACTTGGTACTCTATAAAAAGCACATTTAATGGTTAGAGCCAGAGCTTAGATACAAAGTATTACTATAAAAACTTCTGGCAGTGTGTACACAGTGCAGGCCTTCTGTACTGCTTGCTCTATCAGGTTTTTTGTTTTTAATATTGGCACTGCATTCTTGCTGTGGAGAAAAACAGAATGCCAAATCCTGCCTAGAAAGAAACAGAGAACAACACAGGACATGATGGTAAATAAAGAACTAGCAATGCTAGTCCTGAGAAATATTTTAAGAAAAAAAAAGGCAGATGAGCCACCATCCCTTGACACTGATCTCTGGTTTTGCAGTTGCCTATTTTTCAACTTCATTTCTACAGCAGGACAAGTTTGCTTTGTTCAAGAATTTGCAGATAGTTAAATGGAGACACGTGTACGCTGAAAAGAGCTGAAGAAATTTTCTATTAAAAAGGCAAAGAACTCCCTCGCTTTTATTTACTCTCTTCAAACAATCTACTTTATGCACAAAGCCATTAGAACCTATAAAAGGCACCAAACACAAACCCACACAGGACACACACAGAAATTATAAAGCTGAAGAAAAAATTAACTGCATTCTTCACCTTCATAAGAGGAATAACTCCAACTGTTCTCAAACAGATTACCTACACGTATTCAGACAAGACTAGCCTTCTAGGAATATCCTTAAGGAGCCAGCCCTTACTCCAAAAGGTGACCTCAGCTGAATTAATAAGACTATGCAGATGAGTTGGTCCTTCTCTTCAGATAAAACTCTGTGAAACCAGTACCAAAGACAGAAACAAATTATTTCTTGCTTTCTCCAACCATGTTAGAGAATAAAGAAGCCCTTGTTGTTTTGGGGAATTAACAATTATTTCTTCATGATTGTTAACAATACTTTTCTCTGTGATCCTGACTCAAACAACAGTTTTGTCCAACCAATCTCACTTATTAAAAGTAAAGAGCCCTTAATTAATCTCTGTCAAGAAATTATACAAACATTCTTTAAAGAAAT